CCAGGCAGATCCAACTCCCCATGTGGTCACGCAATTGCTGTTAACTCCACCAAGAAAATCAGCACCACGAGATGAGAGGCAGCACATCTCTGGTGATAGCACAATCTGAACATTAGTTTCTATGTACATCTTGTGTCCAAACAATATTCCTAAATATTTCTCACTGAGCATCCATTAAAAAAAAAAAACTTTATGCAAAATTAAAAATAAATAAAAATTCTTCTCCAGTCAGATTTCCTTCTCGACCAGGATATTCTGACCATTCTTCTTAATTAAAATGTTTCATTTCCTCTCTTTGGAGATGCAAAAGTCTTTATCAGACCAGATGTCATCTCACTCACTTGACAAACAATATTTAATTTCAATGAATGTTGAGATCTTCCATATTTTTTCTATTCCTTTGCACTCAGTTTGCATTTTCAGATTGTAAGCAGCCTCTCTTGAAATGTGTATTCTGTATCTTTTCGGATATTAGCATGCAGAATAATGTACATAAGTTTTTTTTTACTGGCTCATGATTTCATACATAATAATAAATTTAACAGCAGTGACAACTGGTTTGACTTCAACACCTTCCATTTAGGGACAGTGCAATAATTCACAGCAACACTTCTCTTAAGATTCCACTCTGTCATTTTTATATTCAAACATAATTAAGAAATCTTTTGCCTGGGCTTTTGTTATCAATTTGCACGTCATCAAAAACGTATAATTGGTGTAATATTCCTTAGGAGAACATAGATGACATGCTTAGATGGGACTGCAGGAGGCTCTCCTCTTTCCAATGGAAGCAAGAAGATGGGACAATTGCCCCATTCACATGACAGTTCCTCCACACTGTATAACCAGGACGTAGATACATTTAGAATAAAGCAACTGAGGATCTATTTCCTCAGAATTCCAAAGAAAAAAGAGAAGAAAAAAAAAAAAAAAAGAGGAAGGGGATATTGGGAGGAGGAGAGAGAAGTCTGGATTGCTTTTCAGAAGCCATTTATAATGGATAGCCATTAACCTCCTTACCGACCCTTAATTTTAATTCCTTTTTTTTTTCAAATGAGCTCATCTTTGCTCCCTTTATCTTTCTGCTCTCTCATCCATTCTTTTCCCAGATTGCAGCTTTTATTCTCTCCTTTTGAGTATCAGGGTCCTAAACTAATTATTAATTGAGAATGTATCTAAGAATCTGAATGAGGAAGTTGGAAGTGACCCAAGTGCCTTCTTCCCCGCTTTTATTTTGCAGACTATAGCACTGTACCTAGCACTGAGTACTGCTGAGTACTGCTGAAAACAGTAAAGGTGCCATTTCCCTTTTAGAAGCAGACCTTAGATTAGTTCTGTTACTACTTGGGCAAAAATGTGAACATGGGAAAACAACCCAGAAGAAATAAAATACCTAGAAAAGGCATTGGCTCTTGGCAGCCAAGCTGAGTAAAGATAAAATTCTCTCAGCAACTCCTGTGTTGTCTTGTAAGAAAATACTGCAGGAAAGGGCACACAAGTTTGGGAAATCAGACAACTGACACTTCATCAAAAGACTTGTCTTTTAAAGAGGCTAGAAAGGCATGACCTTACATTGCCTGCCGGTGCAGAGCTGGCTGGTTGTACAGCACCGACTCATCTTGTTTCCAGTTGTTAAATTACATTAAAAGGACAGCTAAAAATATATTAAATATTTTCCTATTACTTTTCCATGCAAGCAACTGCTGTAGTTACAAGAGCAATGCCCAGACAAACTCTTAGTAACACCGAGGAGAAAAATAGAGAATTCTTCTAATGCATTCCAGATGAATAATTTAATATCTGCATTCAAAAAAAAAAAAAAGGTAAAGAAACCTTATGCTTAAAATAAAATTTATTGTTAGAACCAAGACTCATGTGTTTCTAATAATCAGAATTGGCAAAAAAAATGTTTCTCAAAAAGGACAAAATGAATGTATAGTTTTAATTCTCTCCTAATTGTCATGTTTTGCAGATTTTTTTCCTTTCAAAAAACAGTAAAGTTAACCAGTCTATCTGTGATGTATAATACAACTAATAAAGACAAATTACACACAGATATTCCTTATTTCCCTTTTTAGAGGTTACCCACAATTGAAAAAGAGAAACACAGAGGAGTTTGAAAAAATGTACAGTCAGTCTTTAAAACCCCCAGCGACAGAAATGCAACTCTTAATTGATTAATGATCTCAAGGTCTCTATCGCCATCTAGTGAAAAATCGCCACCATTGCCAGGGCACACACACAAATTACCTCATTTGTGGGAATGCCACGCTCATTTCCCTGCCACATCCTGCCTGCCTCTGGGCACAGCTTTGCAGAGCTGCTGCTGTCTGTCTTCAGGAAAACCCAGCTCCATCTCCTGTACTGCACGAAGGTTAAGCAAAGACCTGAGCTCTTGCAACACATTTTGTCAATGCCTTATGGATTTCCCTCTCTGTCCTAAAGCTGCGCTCTGACACACGCAGCCAGCTTCCCATCTCGTCTCCCATTGAAATGAAGCAAACCTGTTATTCACCAGCACGGTTTGACACAAATGACCATGTGCCACTTCACAAGAAATGTCCTGGGCCACATTACAAGAATTTCTGCTCAACAAAGAGGACCTCGAAGCAGTTCCCATACTTTGGGTGCATTGCCACAAGCAAACCTGCATCTCACGAAGAGCAGCTGGAGTCCACGAGAGGCAACACAGAGCACCCGGCACCACAGCCTTCCCGTGCACTCTTCCTCCAAATTCAGCTAAGGGCTTCTCAGTCACAAAATTAGAAAACAGACTACTTAAACCACTTACCAAAGCCTCCTTTCTCTCAACTGCATTAATGATACAGTAATTTTCAACAAGAACTTTACTTCAAAACTATAGCCCCACATTTTTTTTTCCTGCTAAAATTGAGGATTGAATTGTAATTGTGCCAATATAAGAAAACATTAATTTTACTTTTCATCCCATATTTTTCCTCCTTCAGACGCCTACATCAGAGATATCTGCAAGCCTCCCTGCATTTATTCAGGTTTTCTCTATAGCAACACTGCATACCACCTTCTTTTTTTTGAAGTGTACTCTATTTGAATGTATTGAAATAGTCAAGTAATCACTGACCATGAGAAAATGCTGTATCAATTTACATTAACATTTTTTTTTCTGCAATAATTGCATTTTAACCACCCTCTTCATATACAGAGACCAAATCTCCTCACACTTAATGCTCATCTATTTTATCTTACCAATCAGTGCTAAGCGGAAACCTAAAAATTGGAAGATTAATGTAAGGAAGGGTTTAAAATAGAATATTCTATCTAGAAAAATAGTAACTCACAAAACCAGGTAACTGAACTGCCTTGTATAATTTTTTACAGCAAAAACTACTTAAGAAATGAGGAACTAAAGAGGCTGTATCTGCTAACTGGCTACCTGCCTAAATACCCAAGTTTTCAGAACATGGCATATTCAAATCCATTTCATCAGAATCTGTTGTACTAATACAGAAACACAAAATTGCAGTTCGAACATTTTAAGCTTTTCAAAAGTTTGTTATCTTCACAGTATTCTGAGTAAAAGCCACAAATCTATGCCAAATAATAAAACATATATGGAATCCAAAAGCATGTTTTCTACTTTAACAGAAAGGCCAAAAGCTCAAATACCCACACGATGTCTAGTTTGTGATAGGTGTTCGATATGTCTAATAAAAATCTTCAAGTTACAAACATATTCAAGACTTGTGATCACGATTTTAAGTTGAAAATCGTTATTTTTTTCCAGCAAGTTGCTTTCCATGCCAGCCTTGTAGATAAACACATCAGAAATCTTACAAAATGATACCACTTCTTTAAAAGAAATATCAGCACATTTTCACATGCACACATAACGCATTCACAGCTACTTTTTGAAGCTGGAAATGAATTTCCAGTTAAACATGTGTGTAAAGTTAAACACAGTGTCTAGGGAAATCCTGGGAGGACAGCATTAGGGGCGGGGTGGGGGGATTTGTTTTTAAGAGTGGTTTATATGAGAAAACTTAGGAAAATAATGACATTATCAGAAACAAAATGCCCCTATGCTTATTGGCTACAAGTCATGCCTTGAGAGCACTGGGTAGTTGTGCAGAGGAGCTGCCCCCCAGGAGCCCCACATGCACCACACGCTGCTGAACACGGAGCTGAACTCATCTCTCTCCCTGGCCACCTAAAACATTAAACGGCATCAAACATCCTGTCACATCCCTTCCCTGCATTGTTATCCATTCCCTGTAGCTTCCGGCTTGGTACTCCCATTCATATAAGAACTAAAATGAAACAGTAGGAAAATTACGTTTTAAAGACATACTGTACATACCACTAATGTACAGTGGTACATCACAGTGTATGTTTTGTGTCTGAGATTATTACTTTTTTCCAACGGCACCACATTGCTGTGGTCTGTATTCAACTGCTACCCTGAACGACAGGAAAAGTAATTTTGCCTATATAATTAACAGAATCTAAAAATAAAATCTGTCCTTTTGAGTCCAATGCAAAGCTTCCTTTTATAGAACAAACAGAAAAATAAAGGCCCAACATATAAGCCATTGATGTTAAGTAACTTTGGGCCAGGGCTAATTAATCAAGAGTTTTAGGAAACTCGGCATATCGGGACCATGACAGAATGCCCAAAGACAAGTATATCCAAATTTGAAGCATACTGGTGATCTGAAGGCCACATTATGAAGCAGAACCAGAAATTCATGGAAAATGTGAAAACAGACGTGTTTTCTTTGTCACTGCAAATATGATCTATTGGAACTAGGTAGTTTAATTCAAAACAAAGCCCAGGCTGGAGGTTCCCTTTATTTTATTTTTTGAGATATTTATCTGATTCTTTTCCAAACACCAAATCTACAGTTCAAAAAACCAAAAGCAAAATCCAAAATGAGTGAAGACCATTCTCCTATTCAGTGAAAATGTAGGTATCTTAAATTCGCCACCTCTGCATGTGTTCAAAAACTAACTTAATGACTTACCTCTCTCCCTTTATGTGTCACCAAAGCAGCCAAAGGTTTGGCATAGAATCTGCTGTAGGAAAATCCCAGGCAGCCATACATGCTGTTAGCAGTGAGTTTCAAAGCTTTCTGTCTGATATCATACTGAAAAGAAACAGAACCAGCAAAAGTGAAACAACTGTCACCAAAAGAAAGCAGAAATTAACGTTCACAATTACATTCACAGCTTTTATATAGTCTGCAGCAATGATGGGCTTCAAGAAAAGCATATTATAACTGCTTTGCGCTACTAATTATCCCTATTCTGTAAAGATAATCAGTGCATCTAGAGGAGTGGGACAAAAAAAAAGAAAAAAAAAGATTTCTATAAAACACACCTGTAAATAAAGGTCAGGATTTAAATCTGGCTGCTTCATTAACTGCTTAACTTGGCGCCTCCTCTCCACCAGTTTCCTAATTTCTTTAGGCAAAATTCCCATTTCCAGGGATGGGTCCGGAAGTTCTGGAATCTCTTCTTCTTCAGCCTGTTAAAGAATCACCAACAGCTTTTTTTTTTTCTCTGTTTGAAGGATATGTTTTAATGACAGATTTTAGAAGTGTTTAGTGAAAAGCTCGAATTAAAAAACGAAAACAACAACATCCTGCATCTTCTGCCAAGGACAACTTAGAACAACAGGCATGAGTTTTTGCTGGTCTTTAATTACATTACTTAATCTCTGCAGACAGAGGCCCAGAGAATCTTTGGAATTTAAGCTCCCTTCCCAGTATCACAACTGGACCTCACATCATATCACTCAAAAACACATCAGTGTCACTGAAGAAGGAAAAGGTAAGAAAACGGAGAGGTTACAAAGCTTAGAGAGCTACAGATGGAGTGATGCATGTGGACTTCATATTGGCATTCAAGAAAATAATTTATACTTAAGAGAATAAAACATTACCAGACAGATGCTCTATTACCTAGAGAGGCTTCTCAGGAATAGGTGAGACTCTATGAAGTTTCACCTGGGAAGTCTAACGCCACCACTTCTTCCTCCACACCCCATTCTGCTCCTCCCTCTGCCTGTACCAGGTGAAGAAGACAACACAGCGCTGCCCCTTCCCACAAGGAGCCCCTGGAGGTCTGGGAGGCAGGAAGGTGGGGAAGAAAGGGAGCTGGGCAGAGCTGAAAGTCACACCCACCAACCAACCAACCAACCAACAGGAAAGCAGAACAGAGAGGTTGTAGGTGGGCAAGTTTGGGAAGCAATCTGGGAAGCACCACAACAAGAAATGACCTCAAAACCTAAGTGAATATAGTGCCGTGGTCAAAATTAAAATAGGCTGCCTCAGCTTGAAACACATTTAAGAAGGAGAGAGAAATCTACATAGTTTGGAGGTACGAGATGAAAGAGCTCCACATACTTTTTTCTTCATTTCTGCTGTGGCATTGATATTTTAGTTGTGATGCCACAACTACTTATGGGACAACAGACTAATTCCAACCAGCGAGCTGATCCCAGTTAAAAATAAAAGCCTCAAATTTAACCTTTAGGCCTGACCAGCTCCCTGCTTCAGTTTACAGCACAGCTCTGCCAAGAACAGTGCCACCACCGAGCAAGGAGGGATGAGCAGCCAAGGGCAGGCTGTGGCCCATATGGAACTACACCTTGAGGTGGCTTTTTGGTCGTATTTAACACAGGATGAATTTAAGTGAAGCTGCTCCTGGAGCTGACACTGCCACCGAGTCGCTCCCTGTGGGCCTGTCCTCCTTTCCTCCCACTGGTTTCTCTGGTGTCCAACAAGCACAGTGCTCACATTGCTTTCCTTCCCCAAGCACAGGCACAGGACAAGTGTCCCTCCTCCCTTCAGGTTACTATTTGCAGGAAACCTGTAGCAATTTAGCTTTGGGAAGGCTTAATCAAGTTAGATGAAATTGGTCACCGGGCTCAAAAACTGCTAGGGGAGAAGAGGATGAACATGGTGTGAATACAAATCTTGTTTCATTATGAAAACAAGCTGGAAAACAACCGATGGGATGAGCACATCGGATGGGAGAGAACTTACTAACATTCTAAAAAAATGTTACTAAAAAAAACAACAGACAGATACAACATTAAAAATACTTTGAACCAAAACTCACCTAGTTGAATTTTTTTCAAGAGTGTGAGAGGAAAAATGGAATCAGTAAAAGAAACAACAATTTCCTGTAAAGCAGATTCAAAGAAAATACACTGAAATTAGACAGTACAACTCAAAGCACAAGTTAAAGTACACAAACCTCTGTCCTCTTCTGTGCTTCTGACGATGTTCTCTGCACTGTGGTAAAGCAGATGTTAAACTCCTGGATAATTGATGGGTACAAGCTGTTGAAGTCGAGAAGCAAAATAAACTTGTCATAAAAACCTGAAACAGAGTTTAGAACAGAAGGCATGATTATTCAGTCTCAGGACTGCATCCAACTCCACAACTAATAAAGCACACTGAAAAAAATGCAAGCTAACATTAGAAACAATTTAGTTATTTGGCTGCATCTTTGGTGCAAGGGAAGATGACACAGAGAGAAATCATGAGACGGGACCATGAGATTTGTTAAGTCTTATCGAGGAAAGCAGGATCTTTCTATAGGTATGGACTCAGATCAAACCAAAGTCTGTCAGTTCAAGCCACACACTTTTAGGCTAGAGAAATGGCTTGATTTCAGATGCTGAAAATATGTCATCGTGTACTTCTGTCATTTAATGACATTTTCAGCATCTAAATCCCTTAAGTAGCTGTTGAGATGCACCACTACCAATTACAGAGACATGTCAGAAGTGGAACGATCCAACCCCATTAACTCACCAGAGTTGAACAGATACCTTCTGTTTTACTATAGGACACTTGTACAGTTTTCCCCACATAGAGAGGAAACTGAAAGAAAACTTACATGTCCATTAGAAAATTATGCACAGACGTACCGTCCTGATTCTCCTCCAGACTTTACCTAGCTAAGAAGAAAATTCCTAAGAATAAATAATTCCACAATGTTGGGCATTTTCTTGTGTATTAAATACAAATAAATTGATAAATAAAACCACAAGGTACACACACTGATGACTGCAGTCTTCTGTGTTCATATAACCTAGCTGTTTCTGACTTCATAAAAGAAAGGAAATTGCCGTATCTTACCAACTTTGGGATCCAAGACTAATCCCCCAGCATATGCTGCTTTCTTTTTCCCTATCTTGGATTTAGTCTGATCTTCAAATTCTTCATCTTCATCCATCTACATTTAGCATTTAAAAAATAAAAAAAAAAAAATCCAGTCTGTACTGCTGAGAGAGATATTTTTTGGCAAATAATATATGCGATTGGAAGTTCCCTCTAAAATAAATGCAAAACACAGCATTTTCATCACAATCCTCACTGTCCCCCTATTCATTTCAAAACAGTATTGAAAACTACCTTTATGGGAACGAATTGATGACAAGAGATGACAAAGACCTTAAGGAACAATCCTCATTGAACATTAGCACTAGGCTACAGTTTCTCACTGGCTGTAAAAGTCAACACACAGGAAAAAAGAGATCTACTCATGAGCTGTTATTGCCAAAACAAGATCAAAAGGCAGTTTTGGAAATAGCATGGGTAGGCCTTTGTTAAGCAAACAGAAACATTATGGCAAATCTAAAGTGCATTTTGTCATTCGTTCTGTTCCAACAAGAAATTTTTCTCTGCGAGTTCAACCTTATTCTGCATCATTTAAAATCCAAGCACTGCTCTGATGCCTCAATAGACTCAACAGACTTTACTACTTTGGAATCTGCTGTTAAACTTGCTTAGAGGTAAAACTAAAAAGCAAAAATAGCACATTAAAATAATTTGTTTATAAACATATTTACAAAAGCCTTTCTTTTTTAATTCCCTAGGATATTTTCATCCACATTCTCAAATAAAAATCTTAGAACTTATACTTAAATTACTGTTTATCAATGAAATATTTTTTTCTTACTTCTACGACAAATGCACAATGACTAAGTGACAGTCTGTTTTATTTTCCTATGAGGTAACATACTTCACTCATTTCAATTTTAAATTAAAGAGCAATTAAGTCTTCGCAAATTTGAAGGTGATGTGATGTCCCTTTAAAGTACACCCCTCCTTTATCAGCTCAGCAAAAAAACCTTTGCTGAAACCATAAGCTGGAACATGAAGTTGCATCTAAGACCAGCTATGTTTCCATGTTCTCATGTACACAAAGGATAGAAAAAAAAAATCTCAGATTTTTAAAAACTCTGGACCCACCAGCTTCTGCAGAGGCTTTTTAAAAACTTGTTTGTCTGGCACTATATAGTCTTTTTCATGAAATGCATGAAGGAGCAAGAACTCATTTCGTTCCGACCGTCCACCCATCATCGTCCTCGACTAGAAAGAGGGGAGGAAAACAGAAATCAAAGCAAAGAACTTAAACTAAATGCTGACATGCAAAAATAAGACAAACTTTTCAACTATCTGAAAGTTTACTTAACCATTTTGTTGTTGTTTCATTAGCATAAACGGCATCCAAATGTCATTTTTATGGATTTCTTTTACTTCACTATTTGACTATAGCATCAAAGGCACAGGCTTAGCAGCAAAGTTTAAAGAATCATTTATATGGAATACCATTTGTAAATTTAAATTAACAGTTGACCACAGAAAATACAGAGGTGTTTAGTGTGACAGTGGAGTGGAAAAAAAAAAGCAATAATAATATAATTTTAAAAAGTACCATAACATTCCCAGAGATGTTTGTGATCTGAAGGGCTAGTGGCAGAACATTCAGCTCACACATGATCTGGAGAATGAACTTGGCATCTATCCAGGTGTTTTCCAGCATGAACAGTAAGTGAGGAGAATCACTGAGAAAAGAAAGGGAATGGCCTATTAAAGTCAGTTCCAGTGTACTCTATAGTAGATCAGACCTGTATTTTGTACTGAAAATATGTGGTATCCATATTACACAGAGGCTGAATTATACAGAAAGCTCTATTAATTGTTAAAAACAAGCCCAGAGATATCCTGTTAGTGTATCTAAAAAAACAATCCCAATAAAAAAAAAAAAAAATTTACTTTGCGCAATAGTAAACTCCTACCCAACAGAATCAGTGCTGTTACAAATAGCCAGCAATATAAAAACATATTAAGAAAATATTTTATTTTTTCACGTACAACAGAGCTAAGTCAGTGTTTCCACGATAAATCAAATAGAAACGCATGAAACTATACAGCAGGGAATTAAATAGCCCCTCCACTTTCCTGTGAAGGATTAAAAACACGTCCGCTACATACCTGTACATATTTCCAATCTCCTCTGGTAGGATTGTTACCCGTTCCGTTTTCAGAATCTGATGAACCAGCTCAGACAAATGGTAGCTCTTGCAACGAATTAACTCCTTAGCGGAAACTTCCACGTCGCAGATCATGCGGCCGCAGGCGGCGTTCCTCTCCGCGAACCCTCCGCGGCCCTGCGCCGCGCCGGGAGGGAAGGGCCCAGGGGGGCCCAGGGACCAACGTTAGCACGGAGCTTGCCTCCAAAACACACACCTACACCACTAGGTCAAACCATTTGGGATAATCCACTGAAATACACAGGCCTTTTAATTATTCCCTAAGGGATTTTAGGGTATACTGCAGTAATCTGCATGTCCACATTTTGTACTAACTAAATCTCCAGATCTTAGTTCTTAAACTGTCAGGGTTTCTTGTCTGATCTGTTTTGCCCTCTGAACGAGTACACACACCAAGAACTACAGAACTATTAATTTAGCAGCTCTCTATGGGATGATTCACCAATCAATCTAAATTACATTTTCTCATTTTACAGTTTAGCAGACAAAGACAGTTTCAGTAAAGACTATTGCAATTAATCTGTCATTATCATCACCTGGCTAAGACATGTAAACTAAATTAGCCTAACTTGAAAATTAGTTTAGCTTATTACTGCAATAAAAGTCATATAAACACTCATCATTTCTGATCTGGGACACATGAAATCCAGCATGACCAACAAATACAAAATGCATCAGAGTCACATTTACAATTCCTCAGCAAAATTAATTCCTTCTTAATCACATGCCACATAAATGGTGTTAAAAGACTTGAGCAATCTTATTACCCCAAGCTTTGGCATATTGGACCTCCTCAGTCGACCTATCTTGGACCAGTGAGGGACTTTGCACACATTAATTCTTTGAAGCAGCACTTCCAGATCAAATCCATAAATATTATGACCCTTACAGGAGAAAAAAATAACAAAAAAGGTTACAACAAATGCAAATTAAGGCTTACTTTCACACACTTCACATTCCTCTTCCCCTTGAGTTTTTTTTCATCTAATTGATGGCATTATCTCTCTCACAGAAAGCACTTTTTAAGAGAACATTCATCAGCAGTACTCATTAGTCTTAACGTTAACAATGCTGTTCAGCAGAATACCCAGATCAGCTCTGGATCTTACAGCACACGCATCAGTCAGCTTTACACTTTGAATCCGAACAGATTCGGACTTAAAAGTTTTCTAGAAAAGAAATACACATTTTTATACAGCATACGAGGTCATGTTCAAGCGGCTCCTTTCTCTCTACCTGAAGTCTTTGTGCTGACATGAAGATCCTCTCGTTTTATTTCCTGCACATCCCTCAATGCCCCGCGGGGCGCAATGCGGACGGGCAGAGCTTCCTCTCAGTATCGACGCACCGGAGAGCTCCCGCAGCACGTGCAGAGCTCCAGCTGGGCCACGGAAACCGGCTGTCCCGGCCCGCAGCCTCGGGGAGGGCAAAACGCTGCTGCAAGCAGCGCACGGGGACCGGCCTGGCACCACGAGTGCCCTTCCAGGCACAGGGACAGGGAAGAACCTCCTCGAAACCAGAGGCTCTGCTGCCAGAGCAGAGGAAACCTCCACCTACGCTGACACATCCCCCTCGCAAGAGCACTAACTGAGCCAGGCACAAACTGAATTACACCAGCACGTCCCTACGGGCTTTGGGATCACCCCTCACCACCCAACCACTGGCATCCCAGCCTGGTTGCTGTGTTTCTCCTGCTTCTTCCCCCAACACAAGGGAGATCAGCTCACAGGGTGAGTACTGGTTACCAGCGGCCGGGTTGCTAACTTCATCCCCTTCTCACCATTTGTTTGAAATCTATATCTATCTATGGATACAGGAGTGAGAAGTCATCTACAACCACCTCAAAACATTTTAAATTGTCTTTTAGATTTTATTAAATGAAATCTGGAACCATATATTAATTAAACATGACCAAAAAAAAAGAAAACGAGTAATTATAATAAATCTTCAGCTGCCCCACAAATCCTATGGATTTGCATAGGTCACCGTTATTATTTATGGCATAAAAACAATTTAAATAGCAGCACGACTTATATGTACATCTGAATTGATGCAGACTTCAGTATACCAAGAGTTCATGTTTTCCTAGAGAAACACCAGGAGTTTGTTTGTTTGTTTTCTCTTTCTGAGTTAAGGGAAAAAAAAAAAGTATTCAGATATTATGGAAATACGGCCTATTTCAGACTCTATGGGAAATAATAGGATGTATAAAATGCTCTCAGGGACAATTCTGTATCATCTTTGTATGGAAGTGTACCTGCTGTCTTACAAGCAAACACAATTCATAAGACATTCTAAGATAAACATAAAAAATATAAGGGGCTAAAAAGAAAAGAACAAAGTGGTCGACTGACAACATGCTTTAATTTACCTCTCAGAGGCTCAGAACTACTCACCACAACAACATCTGGGTCAATCTTATGAATCTTTGCAAGGAAGAATCCCAGCAGTGTTCTCTCTGTCGCGGCAATTTCTATTTTAGCATTCTAAAAGGAGCAAGAGAGCACCTGATTTCAATGACCCAGTAAGTTTAAAATGGAAACATCTTCCTCTCCCCTACTAGTTACAAGACAATAATAAAGCACCAGAGAGTTTTACTTTTCTTTAACTCAAAGCTTTTTATTCTCACTTGCATGGATGTAGAAAGTTTCTCTCAGAGGTTCTTTTTCCCATTCTGCTTTTTTATGCAGGTGTCTAGTGACATTTTCAGAGACTCCTAAGAATCAAGCACATCTGGAAAATGCTACATGTACAACCTTCACTGACAAGCTTGAAATCACACAGAAACACAGGGGATAATCAAGAATAGGTTACTGGATTACTCTGCCAACTTTTCCAGTATCCTTTAGGAAGGGCTCTCAAACTTTGACAGATTTTACTGTCCAAGAGAAACAAATTCACCCAGGTTATCCTGAATACGCTGCCAACTATAATGAAGACAAATCACAATTTTAACTTCATTGCAAAGCCTTGCTTACTCTCCTAACAGTCCATCTGTTTTAAGAGCACGACTAGCAGTAGCACGAAATCACAGAGCCACAGCAGTCCCGTTTTTACGAGCAATTCAAATACCTGGATTAGGTTTGTAGAGTGGAAAATAATGAAGTAATCATGCCATGCCTTTGAAGAGCTGTCTTACAAAACTCACACAAAACAACATAACATCCATATTCTAAGGGAATGATAATCAGAGGGCTATGAAAGTGAAATTACCTTTTTTTTAATAGCTTCTTTGAAGTCATAAGGAAAAATGCAATCGTTCGGTTTGGAAACAACTGTAAGAAAAAATATATTTTTTCTTAAATGTTGTTAATTGTCCCCTCCACAAGTATCTACTGACAATAGAGGGAGCTAGGGAAAACTGTGCTCTAATTTGAAAAGCTGACTTGATGTGAATACCTTGGCCAAGAGTTGGAAACATGAAATTCTTGTATTAAAATCAATGGCTATCAAACAACTATTGCATTTTAATTATTATTAGGTAAGGCTGTTTACATAGCTGGTTAACTCTTCACCTTTCACTGATGTGGTTGGCATGACGAAAAGATGACCAGAAAAAAGCCCACAAGAACAAGCTATGAGCTACTGCCAGCAGCCTACTGGGGATTTAGGTTTCATAAATCTGCATCTTCTTGTTGCAAAAGCTGCTCAGAGAGGGCAAATGATGAGACATGAAACCAGAACAGATTAACTAAGAATCAACTCATTTAGATACTCTCTTTGCAAGAGCTGCTAAACGAACACCCCAACTTTGCCCAAAGCTATTTTTATCCACTGTGAATTTTGCATAGACATTACATGTATATCTGCCTATAGGAAAACTGAGCAATTTGGTGAGGAAAGTCAGTCATATTTGAACTCAACAGAGGAGATAAAATTGTGGTTCACAGCTTAAGAACTTCCTCTAACAAGAATCCAAAACTTCTCGTTCACCTTCAATTAGGGTGTGATAATCTCACATAATGTCTTACATAAATGATAATCTCTTGACTATATAAAGTCAAAAAGCAAACAAGGTGCAGCGAGCCCTACTGTAATCAACTGCTTCAGGAGATTTTTTTTTTAAGAAAATTTGCCTTTTAAACATACTTAATCTTTATTTTTAAAATTCTATTAAGAAGAGCTAAATGACTTTTTATCGGTCTAAATTTACCGGTAAAGAAACCGATACGTGTAATTGAACAAAACATGATCAAGTAAAACTAACAAAAATGATCAGAAACTGTACAGATCAGGGTTACTTTGCACCATCTCAACTAAAGTCAGTATCCACTCACGTTATAAACAGGGGGAAATTACAGTTTAGGAATTGAAACTGTCATTTGCCCATTTAGCGCTCCACAATCACCTCTATTTTAAGCCATTATTGCTAGAGAAAATGTTACAAAAGCTCTGAAAGAATTATTTTTTTACTCATTTCCTGTTCCAAGTACTTACCACAGAAATGTGTCTGAAAAGGAGGTTGAGGTGGAGCCTTATCCAAAGGAAATTTCTGATGAATCAGAGCTGCAATAGCCACAACCTATACCAAGGAAATATAAAACACAAAATATAGTTAACATGACCACTATGAATACTCGTTTCTTCACTTTTTTTTTTTCTTCCTTTTGTTTTCCTCCCAAGTAACCTCACCTATTTTCTCTCATTTCCACTAAAGGCCTTCTTAATGTGAACTTCAATCATAAATTGCTATAAGGAAAGTAAGTTATGGGTTGACCTCAAGTAAAATAAAAATGATTCACAATTAGTCATAATTGAGAAGTTACTACAAAATTATTATCTTAGAACTTATGAGGAAAAAATAGTTCATTTTGGAAAACTCTGCTTTCACAAAATGTTTTTCGGAATCTGACAAGACCCCATAATTTAAATGATTCCCAGGGCTCCCAAAAAGACTTGAGGTTTAAACATCTAGAAGTAATTGTTCTAATGATAAAAATCTGAGCAAAAGGATTTAATTCCTTTTAAAATGTTGTTCACCTAGCATTTCTTCGATTCTTAATAACTATTAGCCACAGATAAACTATCTAGAAACTAAAAATACTAAGTACAAAGCCAGGAAGACCTATGTTCAAAAGAGCTAAGCGTGTCTGATCACAGCTTTTAGCATACAGTCCACAGCTGAGGGTGGCCACCTACTTCCCTCCTACTGAAGAAAGAATTTCACGGTAGGGTAAGAGGAACTATAAAGTTTACCCTAGACTCTCATTCTATATCAAAATGAGCTCATCAGAAAAAATAAAAATAAATTTTAAAAAATAATAGAAAAACCTACAAAAAATTAACATCTCCTCAGAGACAGCCTCATGTATAACTGTTTAGTATATGCAACAGCAAAATAAAAGGCATGAAAAAATACATATGCAGCATCTGTGGTATCAATGAATTCCGATCAAACAGGGCCACTGAACCCACAGAGCTGGACTTATGCTTGCATTAAAGACCTCAGTAAAAGTTTCTCAGAAAAGCCACTGCACAGAAGTTTTATTCAAAAGCAAATACAATTAGACATAGTTTGTCAGGTGCAATTCTCCCACGTCTCAGAATACTTACTCTATGCCAAAGAACAAAACAAAAATTACAGCTGATTTACCTCATTCTGGTGAGTCTTTGGATTCTGAATTGTCTTCATGCTGAGGGACATGACCACAAGAGGGGGAGGAGGAGAAAGATCTTTTACCACATTCACCAAGGCAGGTTTCACAGCCACTGCTTCTACCTTACACCAGCTGACTGATGGATTTGAGGGCTCTAAGGAAATAACAAGAAAAACATTCATTTTTCTGGGAACCACAGCTAAAACTTTTCTAATAGTGCTGTTACAAAGAGTGTACTTCTTTAATGTTTTGCCCTTGAGCAATAGTCTAAACTCAAAATTAATCCTGCCAAATTTTTGTAATTCCTTGAGAGATGTCAGTCAGATGCCCACTCACCCCAGGGGCTCTCCAATGTCAAAGGAGAGAGGGAAGATTCCTGTCTAGGCCCAAAGGATGCCCTTCCTTCCCTGCTAACAGCAGGGAAGCCCAATTCACACCTGAGTTACACATCTGAAGCTGGGGTAGCCATACTTAGATGTGGACCCAGTCCTCCCCCAAATTAAGTAGTATGCATCTGAAGGTGCTAATGGTTGAGCCCTGTTAATGGGTAGGCCGCTGTTGGGCCTCCCTTGGTCCCTTTCTAAACCTGAATCTCAGCCTAAGAATCCAAGAAGATAAATACATAAAATTGTTCTTCTTGGAGAATCAGTAGCCACCCTCACGGGTGCCTAGCAGAACAAGGCAGCACCATGCAAAAAAGACTCCAGACAGCTTTGTAATATAGAGCCATAGCAGAGAAAGGTACAAGCTAACCCAGCATATCTCCACCTAAAAACTCTCAGCATCTAATCTTGTAGCCAGTCCAAAGGTGGAATATTTAATAAAATAAAAGAATTAATAAAACCAAAATGAAACAAAAGAATATACTTTTCAAGCACTATGGGAAAGGCAGCTAGAATGCTAATCAAATCAATTTTTATCAAATGAGGACAAGAACATATCTAGTATATGATTGACTGAAATGTGCTGGATAATTCATTTAGACATAGTCCTTCAGCAAAAAAAAAAATATGGAAATAAGATGGGGATGAAAGCTCATCCTACTCTGGTAATACAAGCTCTCCTGAAAATCAGAATATAAAAAGCTGTTTAAAGATGAAGTGTATGAGATCTTTTTATATATACATATATATATATATAATATATGCACACACACACACACACACATTGTGAAGAGTGTAGGCCTATGTTTGCATGTGTATGTATACACTATATAAAAATATGCATTCGCCACCCTTTATCATTTTAATATTTTGGCCTTCAATACTTCACTTGCTTAAAAAAAAAAAAAGCTAATTCAAAAAGACTGTGAAGACAATTTACTACATGCACATACACTCAGTCAAGCAGTAAAATTTTTTGTGGGACTAAATTTTTGAAGGTAGCCATTGGTAGAACTGTTTATCCTGCTCCTTGCAAAATGCTTTGACACCTCTCTAGAAATCCACTATTTTATGCTCTCCCACAGCAGTCTCAGAGAAGGCAGCTGGCTAAAACATCTTAGTTATATATAACTAATATATAGTTATATATATCTAAATTAATAGCTAATTTATAGTTAAGTTGCTGCCTAAGGTGCTAGTTATCATTGCAATGACATCTGCCATACTGGATTTAAGGAACAAAACAGCTTTGACTTCTCTGGAGATGAAGAAAGAAAATCCAAAAGCAATGTGAGGTCAATCCTCAGTGGTAAGAATGAATATGGAAAACTGTTCTTAGAACTTTAGATCCATACCAAGGAGTACCTGTATAGTAACCGATATTTATCAGTGTTTAGTGAAAAAGCCATCAGAGTTTATCCATTTCTTGGCAATCAGGGATTCATCCTGTCTGCTGCAGCTCAAAAATTCTCACTAGTATCAGCTCCGAGTTACTGAACTCATTTAAGATTCAACTGCCTTGAGCCAACACATCATACTGTCAATTCATCTACATTCCAAGTGCCTTGAGCAGATGGTCCTAAAAGATGCAGGTTTCATTCACTAGCATTAGCTTTTCTACACTCTTGGGAATATACAGCACATACTAAGCTCTAACCAAGCCCAAAACTAAAAGGCTCTGCACCACAATCCAAAGTGCAAAATTAAACAACAGATCTTCTAGCAGTAGTTAACTCTTTAAAAGACATAACTATGATTAAAAAAAAAAAAACTCAAGGTTTCTAAGAGAAGAAAATTAACTTTAACTAGCTCAGCATAATTTTAGCATATATACCAAAGAGCAGTTGCTAGACAACTGCCTAGATTCTTCTCACTGCCATAAGGACTAGGCAGAAGCAGAGTTGAGACTGTTTTCTCCCTAAGGACTCCATTTGGGCGAATATCCCAACTACATTTTATAATCCCAACTACATTTTCCACACAAGCTTTACACTTAGAGAACTATTCAAAGCTATAAACTCACCTGCACTGCATGCAATTTTTCATATGGATAGAGTCACCAAAAAAGACTAAGATGTATTAAATTATGAAAATTACGGAGATAAATTAATTTATAAAATGCAAATTTATCAGAACAATGTAGTTGTTTCCTCCTCCCCCAAATTTGTATTTGTGTATGTTTCTCAGAAAACAGATATTTCACATGCAAACCACCATACGTGGATTTTTTATTTCCAGCCAGCACGGTCCTTTGATCTTCCTACTCATCAGCAGAAGTTCCAGGCTAGAAGTGTTAGTTCCAAACACATGAGAAAATGTTTCGCCTTTCAGATCCTGGGGAAGTCGAGGGAATTCAGCCTAACAATAAAAAGCAGTGAGACATTCCACCCCACAGAAGTCATGTTAAGACAATACGTTCAAACGGCAACTTGAGAAAGCTACAAAATACCTGAAATTACTGCAATTTCCCACAAGCAAAGCCTTAACACATAATACCTTACAGAAATTCAAGAAATTACAGTATTGACTGTGCATAACTCTACTTAAATTCTTCGTTCATACAAATGAAGAATACAAGAAATATTATCATCAGTTAACACTGAAACAATGCTCAGTGACCATTTTAATATAGAAGCTGCTTAAATAAGGGTTGTAAATTCAATTAGTTAGAGATTTAATCTTGTCTGTCATATAGTGAGTGCATAGAGCGTTTCTGCAAAGCTAAATAAAGATTTGGGATAGCTAGCAAATTTCTTTCCAACTCTGACTTAACATCTGAAAATGGTATAACAGATGCTATAGAATGGCATTACCTCAGCAATTGACCATACAGGTTCAGAACTGCTCAACTTTTATATTTGAAACCAAATTGTTTTGTTTTGTTTTGTTAATTAAGAATATGTTCGTACATTTTTTTTCCACATTTACTGTTCTAGGAAGTAATTTAAAACATCTTACTTCTGGTCATGACACAGCACAGCTGAAGAGCTATTTGGTTGGTTTGGAGGAAAGATAAGGCAATGAAAGCAGGGTAACTGCAAATATTTACTGTCATCATTAGCAAATTATAATCAAGGATGAAGGTAGGAGGAATGTAGTAGTTTGTTGTATTTTTAGGATGTTTTCTCTCCCCCCGTGCTTGGTTTACACAAAGACAACTATCTGACAAATTAACATGTTGCAGACCTCCTGGCAATGAATCATTTGTGTTAGGGACTAAACAACATGAAAATGTGAAAAAAATAATAAAAAAATTCACACACACACACATCCCCCATAAGCTTAGGTGTCAACCTCCTCTTTATACTACTTTTTGACATATAAATAAAATCATTAAAAACAACATTAGGTGAAGAGAACAGGACTTGAGTTTTCATCAGATTAATTATACTCACCGAATATTTTACTTCTAGGTATTCAGATTTTGCCGGAACATCTGGGATCTCAAAAGCATAGTGCTTTTCAACTTTCTACATAAAATAAAAGATATTCATGTTTTTCCAGTGTTTCCCAATTGAAAATTCATTGTTCTCAGTAACAGAACTAAAGAAATAAAGGCTACTCAAACTACACACAAGTAACAAGGGCTTGATCATGTATTGCCATTTTTACAACTCATTATAAACATCTAAAGACAGTAAGACTATTATAGCTATTGTGCTTAATCTCTTTAGGTTTTCTTAGAATTATTAGTTTCTGCAGAAGCAGCCTACAAGTATTCTAACCATCAAAAAGGTAAAAACATACAATCTTAATATTAAGGAAATTAAGAAACTTTTTGTAAATTCAGACTTGAAACATAAGAATGTTGCAAACAACCATCTGCTAGTCATCTACCTTGCTGAATCCTTAGAAGAGAATCATTTCTATGACAGAATTTCACTTCTCATTCCGAGTGACTTGTTTTTTACTAGAAAGTAGTCAAGCTGCTTTCCATATAACACAAGATTGTTAAAACAGTCCCAAGCTCAGTTCAGCTGCCCTGAAGGCATTAATTCTGCTTGCTCCTAGAACAGTAGCGATTTTGTACAGCATATGGTTTGTCAGACCCCAAAACAACAACTTCCATTTCTCAAATAATTACAATATCTTCTGTGATAATGACAAGTTGTCTGCTAAAATGCTCTGTGCTCTACTAGCCAGTGATTTGCTACAAAACATCTACAGCATCACTATATATCTATACTATAGAGCTATGTTAACTGTGGTACAAAATTTTTACTCACACTACATTATATTTGCTTTACTACAGAAGGACCCAGAGGCCCTTAAATTAAAGGAACATTTTCACGACACAGATCTTTAAGATCAGCACATATTTTACGTCTATGTTATGTTGACTCTATGCAAGTATAATAGAAAAGACAAACAGAAACAGGAATAAAATTATATACAGCAATTAAATGCAAACACGGTTAGGTGAAGTCAGAATTATTTCGTTTCCTTTCCTTAAACTAACGGAGTCGGCAACATCAGCCCTTCGAGCACTACAGCCAGCAATGGAGTTCGCACCAGTGGGGTTCGAGGCAGCAAAGCCGGTTAGCTGGGAAAAGGGCCCTTTCTGAGAGAGAAGGGCAAATCAAGAAGCATCTGTAGCACCAGCAGCCAACAGAAGCAGAGGGGAGTAACACGACTTGGGACAGGAGCATTTCCATCACGTGAAAACACCGTCACTGTATTAGCCACCAGCCTTCAAACGTAGACCCAAGCAAGCAGAAGCAGCACCTCACGTGAGCAGCATAGAAGCCACAACTTAACACAGACAGCTTGGCTCTGCGTTTAGCACATATCACCCGTAGGCCTTTTCTAAACCTCTCAGGCTTCAAACAAGTTCTTGTCACAAACGCAAACTGAACATAGTGTAAAAATAGTACACTGCAGTGATTCATCTGCGTTATTCCACAGAGCTCAGCTCAATTACACTGGTCATAACTGCAGTGAATGAATGTTTTGCTGCAGAGTAATCTGCCCTTCAAGTGGCCCTTCAGAAAGCAGAAAGGAGCAGCAGTGATTAGCTGCGAAGTTCTAAGTGGAGTAAGGCTGCTTTCGAATTGATTTGTGAAGACTTACTAACTTGGCAGCCGTGCAACCCACTGAAGCTACAATTAGCAGCAGGTGCAAGAGGAAGCGCTAGGGCTGAAGTGTATCTGCTCACACGGATGAAGTTTGGTGCGCACAAGGCCAAGATCCACATGCACACACACAGATACAGAGGAATCAGAAGAAGCTGTCTCCGCACATAAACACTGGCTCTGCCCACATCCACATGCACACACACAGATACAGAGGAAGAGAAGGGGAGAACCAGAAGAAGCTGTCTCCGCGCATAAACACTGGCTCTGCCCACATTGCCAAAAAGCTGGACATTCTAGAGAAAAAGGTATTTGGGGGCACGTTGGATGTGCTAGCAGCATTTCTGACACCTCCAGCTAACGGTGGGAGAATGAGGTTTTCTTCAAGTTTCACCTGAGGCCGGCCTGCTACACGTCACTTGGAGTGCGTTGCTTCATACTCTGCCCACATGAGCATGATGCTTGGACGCAGTCCTGTGCCACGTGCTCTAGGTGACCCTGCGTGTGCAGGGGGGTTGGACTAGATAACCTCTAGAGGTCCCTTCCAACCCTAAGCATTCTATGATTCTATGATAGGGACTAGCGTTCCCCAAAGCTTTCAGAACACCTTCCCTTAATAACACAGTAGTGGAACAATGTCTGCAGATCACAGGGGAGTTGGAAAGCAGGCCCGGCATATTTGTAATACAGTCCCAGCAGTGTGTGGAAGTCACTTGGTTGAGCTGCCTACAACCACCACTTCAACCCCAGAGCCCCACACCTCCCGGGAAAAGCAGAAGCAGAGGCTGCCTCATGAAACATCCCTGATGTTTCACGGCTGCCGTGAAAAGAAAGGTGGTGACTCCTTGTGAGAGGAAGCTTAATACGGTATTTAACAGGCAAACTGAGGTGTCCCAGAGAGGAGCAAAGGAAAAGGAGGTCAAAGGAAGGGGAAAAAGCAATGATTTCACAACTGCCTTACACAGTTGCCCGCTGGCCCTGCTGCAGACATAAGCTTAGCAAGCCTTGCTTTGCAGTGCACTGCCACTTGCTCATGCAAACCTCACTCTAAGGTGGAATAATTGAATTACAGTAATACTTTCCTTTAGTAGACCTCCTGGAATAATTGAATTACAGTAATACTTTAGTAGACCTCTAAGAGCCCCACCAGCAGCCCTGCTTCCCCACCAATCTCTCCTGTCTTCCCACACATTACCCATATCCTCACTAAACCCTCACAAGAGGCAGTAACTAAACAGACAAGCAGAGAAACAGCCCAGTACAATAAAGTTGGGGAGCTTTCTGCTGGGTTAGGGAGTAAGATTCAGTTTAGTGAAAAGTCTGACAAATCCAAACAGTCTTTTGAACTGCACTGTTGAGAAACAGTTCTAATAGGCTGTTCCAGAGCTTCACTGCAGCTTTAACTACCCTGATTTATTCCCAAGTTGAACTTTATGAATTTCTTATTTCTCTAACAAGGCCTGCTAGATAACTCATTTCTTGCTGCTCATCCCCATTTAATGTGTTCAGAGAGCAAACAGGTCATAGGTCATTCTTCGCCTCACTAAGGAAAATTCCATCTCTCTCCTCACTATCTCTGCTATAACTGATTCTCTTTTCTCTCCTTTTCCCAATTGTCTTTTGTACCTGCTCTAGTTTGATTTCATCTTCCCTTCTCAGAGTGATCAGAAGCATTACAATATTCCAGATAGCATCTTAGCAGTGCCTTAGTACTTCCCTATTCTAACTAGGGAACTCTCCTGCATACATCCAAGGATCCTGGATATGTCAGTCACATGTCAGGAGAACAAAGTTGTGCCTTCCATTTTGGGCTCTCTATAAGCTCAGTAGAAAGAGAACAAGCCTTGAATTCATAACAAAAATAGCATATAGCAAAAAGGATCTGCTCTATTAGGGTCAACTTCCAAATGCTAGGTTTAAGGTTCAACTATGTTATTGTTATCCAACCCTGTAACATTTTTAATTAGTATCATGAAAGAGACGGAGTCCTAAGTTTCCATTAACAGATCTGCATCTTTTCAAAAGCCAATTCCTTGCATTTACCTTCTTGAGTATGAGTGTTTGCGTCATCTCTATTAATTAGGAACTCATTTGCCCCAAGTTTTCTCTTTCATCCCTAAAAGGGTCATTTAAGCATGGGCTATTACAAACCTATTGTTAAATTCATTCCTTTCTGATCCTAACACATAAAAACTACATTATAACTAAATATAAAAGTAGCACTGAGAAAACAACAAAAAAGCTAATTTGCATCAGAGTTTTAAGAGAGAAAATCATCTAGAACAAGAATTTTTTTAAAAAAGCAAGTTTAGTGAAGTTCTAACAAACACACACTTTCTCTGAAGGATGAAAAGAGTGCACGAAGCAACACACTGTTGAAAAGATGCAGTTTCCTTCGTGGACTGCCATTTGAGACACACTGGTGACATTTGCACTTCTAAGAACTTAAACTCTCCAAATTACATCAACTTTGGACTATGTGACCTCCTAAAATTCCTTCCAAACTGAATTATGCTATGAATGTGTTTTATTTTCTTCAATTACATGAAGTTCATTCTTCCTGCACTTTTGCTTGACTTTCCACTTGCTGATTAAACATCCAGAAATTAATATTAGGAAGTCACAAGATGATTAGTCTGCAAAAAGTTAAAACTAATTCCACATCATCCAGTAATTACAATGAAGTTATCTTTATCAGACTAATGGCATTACTTCAGGAAAACAGAAAAGCTTCTGAGCACTTAACTCTGAATCAAATTATTCCTCTCACTTGCATCTTAGGCAGCATTCCCACCAACTCCCTACCTCTACTCCCCAAAGACAAACCTTCCTCATAAATGAATTACCAAATCTCCTCAGACAATACTATCACTATAATCCTTCTCTGCAGAGTTACACGTATTGTATCTGCAAGCTTTCCTTTCCTTCTTTCTTCAACATTCACTTAAGAATCTGTTGGTCAAGTAGGACACAGCAATAGCAAAACTATTACATATATTGCAAGTCAGGACAGCTTCAGTTTCAAAACTGAATGACAGTCCTCAAAACTTGCTAAGCCCTGTATAAATGCATTAAGACAATCCAGACTCTAAGCAGCACAAAAATAGATAAATCTGCAAGTGTGAGAACAAGACTGAAACAAGCCAAGAGGCAGTGCAATTTTCTCAGTATGACATCTGGTCAGATGCAGAGACCTGGTGTCAAACCCTGAAGTACTGAGCTATCCGCTGAATATGTGATCTTTCAGTTTAAGCTTTGAGACCATAATCTGACAGTCAGGACTTCAGTAACAGAACTTGTTACCATTTCCTTTTTCTCAAAAACAGCTCAGCAAGCAAGCCAGTCTACTATTTCAATCAGCTTTACAGAAACTAATGACTGAACGTATTCAGGACCAGTATGTTTAAAACTGATGTTCTCGACAAAACCGGATTTTTTTTTTCCTCTCGTTCTTGAGATACACACCACAGTATGGCTGAGAGAAATGAACTTTAATAATGTATTGTGGGCTGCATCACAAGAGGACTTTGCATTAACCTTGTTTCAATATCAACATCAAGCCAAGCATTCCACAGTCAGCTCTGAGTGATGCTTGCATGACATAGTAAGTAATTTCACCTTTATAAGCCACGGAAGAGTGAGAAAAATCTTTGAAAGTCTTGCTGTAGTGGTTTAGAGAGACTTAACAAACAAAGGAGTCTTGAAAATTGCACTGCCAGAGAAAATATAAAATAATGTTCTATTACTTTAGTGAGGCCTATTGTTAGTAATTGTTACAGCATTTACCATAATTGCCAGAGCCTAGCTTTACATAAAGATTGGTTTAAGTCAAGAAACTGGGCAGGCAAAATGAGTTTTCAGTGTCAAAGAAGGTAATTTTTGGATGAAACAATTATGTTACAGATGTATTTGTTCTTAAAGGAACACAGATATTTGGGAAGAAACCAGCATAGCTTTACAAGCAGGTTCACCTGCATGTCAGGAGTTATGTACCTGCCTTTCTACATAAACTGACTCATTTGACAGTTTTTCAGTCCATTAAATATTATCCAGACCACAACAATTAAAAAAAGGACCAAATAGGATACATGCACACCAACCTTGGATTTGAACTTCATAATCTTATGTTTTGGTGAAATGCAGTCATTAAACTCCTTGAAGAGGCTCATTATAGTTACTGGAGTGTCTGTCTCTCTGCCAGTGGATAGGTCCATTTCCTTAAAAACAGAAGTCAGGTTTTACGTGACATAACAAATAAGTCCAATTTTGCTTTGTTATCATGAGCCCTTTATCTCTTCAAGGGATGCTATAATGTTAATAGGTCAGAAAAAAAAATTAGAAACGTATATCACAAAGCAGAGTGTTCAGAAAGCATCGAGGTTTCTAATAATTCAGGATGACTCTATTTTCCAAGTAATAAACCCAAAGGTTACAAGCTGTCAGTTGTATGCAGTTTTCGGCAAAGGCCAAAGGGGAAGCAGCAAAGCAGCAACACTCTAACACACCATGTGTGCAGCGTACAGAAATTTGCCACCTCCGTCAGACAACACCAGCTTTGACAGTTCCCATAAACACTCTACTAGAGCTCACAACCTGCCATAAGCAGAATGAGAAGTACTTATGTTTGACATACTTAAAAGATACACTTACTGTTTCACGTGGCAGCAGGTAAACAGTTCTCTCAATATTTTTCACTGTCACACAACAGCTGACGTAGGTGTTTACTGATTCTATCCAAACTTTGCCAAACAGAAATACCACACCTAAAGGACAATAGCAAAGAATATAATAAGCAATTCTTACCTTAGATATTTCTTAATGTTGCTTAAAGCAGCTAATTATATATTCTTGTACAGAAACACAATAATTTCCTATTTTAAGTCTTTAAAAAAAAAATCTTTCTGATAAATCTGCACATCCTAAATTGTTTCGAACACCAGCTTTAAAAAAAGATACCTGCTCAGTTCTTCATGCCCCGACCTCCATCACTATAGCAACAACACCGTGATACGTGAAATTCAAAATGGCATCACATAACCAGTATCAAAATTCTGTTCTGATACTCAATTTCGACTTACATCAGTTTGATAATTCACCGCGTGCGGGAAGAAAGAGGGAGAAATCAGTGAAAACTGAAGATAATCAGAATGCCTGTGCTGTCAATCATTCCTGAAACACTTGTATCATCTACAGGTTTGGGGTTTCCCCCCCTCCCTTTTTTTTTTTAACCTAAAGCTGTACAATTCATTTTTTCCTGAACTTTAATACTGCAAGATGAAGAGTCTACTACTAATAAAACTTGCAGAAATGCATTCAGAACACAACAACCAGAAGTTAATGGACTGTAGAAAGGTTTCAACCTGCCATTTTTAAGAGATTAGGGCACTGAAAGATACACTACAAGAAAGATTACTACAAGATGCATTACAAAAGAATGGGTGCTAAAACAGCAGTTGTAACCAAGGGGGGCTCTTCACTATGGACCATGTCATTATTATCAGTATCTGCACATCTCCGAGCCACCGAGAAGCTGGCATTAGCACAAAACGCTGCACATTCCCCAGTGGTCTGCCATTAATGTGGTCAGAATTACCAGAGCCAAGACTCTTCCAGAAACAATATTTAAAATGAGGAAAATCTTGGAACTCAGACTCCTCCTTGGTCTGAGAGTGCACAAGCAAATTCTTTGTTAAGTGGGATAAATCATCTTTGCCACTTGATCCATCACACACAAAGGTACCTTTCTTACTCTAAGCTAAATGTGTGAAGATGCACTAAGATGGATCACAGGGTAGATCCACAGAGTGACAGGCTAAGAGAAATTACTTCTTCAAGTGCTTGGAACAGACATTAGCAAGACTACTTTTGAAAAGGCTAGAGAAGAAAATGTTGCAGTTTTGAAGATGATGAAATCCAGGATATATGTTTCAGCTGCACAAAGTATTTTAGAGATGTTAATGCAAAGACAATCTTCAAGATGGAGACAGTCTGAATAAAAGGATCTAAAAAGAGCTCAAATTACAGATCTAAATGACAGGCAAGATGGAGTTCTTGTCCAGAGTAATCTTTTAAGAGATAAGAAACTCAAATGGGCTTGTACCACGCAAAGAGATGAAAGCACAGCAGAGACCCAGGCTGGGGAGTTGTTTGCTGGCACAGCAGCAGGAACACCGAGGAGTTCATCTCTCGGAGGCAGACATCTCAGAACATGATGTAGAACATGGGCATTCAAAGAGAGGCGAAAACATGGACAAATAAATGGCCTCGACCACCAGCTTTCACAGAACTGGAGGAATATACAGGGTAAGGCAGCTCTGGAGGCCACCTATTCTAACATCCCTCCCCCCAAAAAAACACACGCACCTGGACTAACTTCCAAAAGTTTTCAAAAATATTTCATATGTAAAACCAAGAAGGATATAAGAGATATTAGGACCTACCCCTGTAAGCCTTCTTATGAAAAGACAGACAGACGAGAAAAAAAAAAGTGTGTATATATATATATATATATGAGAATATATATGTATATATTCCTATATATATATAATATATATACACATATACCACGGGTGTTGTGTGTATATATATATATATATATTTTATACATAT